TGCCATTAGTGCTTTCTCTTTATTTCTATTGTCTATTCTAGGAGGCATAGTTTGTTTTTCTAATTTTCACGTAACACTGGGTTCATGAAGTTTTGCTTTATCCAGTTAAGAAAAAGCCAAATTTCCCCTGAATGTGAAAATCTCTGAGTAGAATCTAACTACCATTCCAGTTGACATTGAGATCATCTTTTTAAAATTTTTTTTAAATATTTATTTTTTAGTTTTGGGTGGATACAATATCTTTATTTCATTTTTATGTGGTGTTGAGGATCGAACCTAGTGCCTCACACATTCTAGGCAAGCACTCTACCACTGAGCCACAACCCCAGCCCCTTGAGATCATCTTTTAGAAAACTTGAGAAACCCTTTGAGATCCCCAAAGTCTTCTTTAGATCTGAATGTTCCATACACTGGCTCATGCTGAGCCACTTCTTTATAAGATGCAGGTGATGAGTTCCTGTTGATGAATATTTGGGGACCTGTATCTTTCCTCACACAGAAGGGTTTGGTTGGCCCAGACTACCTGCCAATCCTGAAGAGAGGAGGTGAGGTCTGGGTAGCCTTTCAGAGCAAGAAAAAGCCTAATGGGGCCTGGACTCTAGTCTTTGTTCTAGTCCCGAGCATGTCCTTTCTCCTTTCTGGTTCTTGTTAACAAAAGGGATAGGGGCCTCTGCTCTGCCATCTTTAGAGGTGAGTAGAAATGCTCAAATGGAGAAGTGAATGGCAGAGGGTTTCCAAATGGGAAGGAAAATTAAAACAGCATAGTGTGAAGTCAGTTTCTGGGCTCATGACCACTGTACTTTTTATTTTTAATTTTTCAGTATTAGGTATTGAACCCAGGGCCTTATACATGCTAGGCAAATACTCTACTGTTGAACTACATCCCCAGCCCTTTTAAAAAGTTTTTATTTGGAAACTAGGCCTCACTAAGTGGCCCAGGCTGGCCTTGAATATGCAATGCTCTTACCTCCTGAGTAGCTGGGATTGGCTACTCAGGAGGCTGAGTAGTAGTACACCTGGCTGACCATTGTATTTTATTGGTTCAGAATAAGAGAGACCTTTATGCAGCCATGACTTTATAACTTCCTTCTTCCAAGCTGCCTGAGATGGATTTTTCTGTTTTTTTTTTTAATATTCTGCTCTTAAGTTTCAGTTTTATTTTTTCTTGAGAACAAAGATATTATTATTGAAGAATATTTGAAAAATACTGAAAAGCATAAATAAAGAAGAAAAATATCATATCTCTATCCAGAAACAACTACTTTAAACACATTTTGGAACATATTTGTTTTGGGGGCATTTTTCAAAGTGCTCTTTAATAGAGTCAGTGTTAGAAAAAGATTTTAATAATCTTAATGGCTGCATGCTAGTTCACTTATCTATAAAACTATTATGACAGAATTTTAGGATGATCCAGTTATACTGTTTTCAACAATTGATACATATCTTTGGACATAAATACTTGGGATTATTTCCTTAGGAGAATTTGAAGAAGGAGAATTGCTGGATTAAAGGATGTGTACAGTGTGTCAAAATGCATTCTATTGTCATGTATAACTAATTAGAACAAACTAAAAAAAGGGACAAACATTTTTAGCTTTCTTTCACATTAGGTACAACAATAATATTATCTTTATATCTCCTGCTACCTCAAATCTAAGTTAAAAGACAGGACAAAATATAATATTTTCTGTGGTAGGAACTTGTATGTTCCTTGGTCATCAAGTAGAACCATCTCTTCCTTGAAGTTTGGTAACCTGCCAGAGGCTCAAAGATGAGACCTCTGCAGCTTTTCTTGGAATTTGGTTTCAGCCTCTTCCTGTGGTTAAATAACACTGCTCTGACTATAGGAAGAGGTTTGGGGATGGGTATAAGACTCAAATAGTCCAGTGAGTTGTATCAGGATTTTGTTTTCTCTTGCAGATATCAGAAAAGAGAGGCTTCTTTTTGTGAGGTTCCGTCACTGAAACAGGAGCAATCATCACTGCTATTCTGTGGGACAATCTTCTCAAGAAGCAAACTGACAAGCTGGGCCCAATGGCACACAATTGTAATTCCAGTGGCTTGGGAGGCTGAGGCAGTAGGATGGCAAGTTCAAAACTAGCCTTAGCAACTTAGTGAGGCCCTAAGCAACTTAGTGAGCCCCGTCTCAAAACAAAAATAAAACGGGCTAGGGATATGGCTTAGTGGTTAAATGCCCCTGGGTTCAATCCCCACATCCCCCATACCAAAATAATAACAACAACAACAAACTGCTAAAAGAAACAAACCAACAGAGGGGAAAGAAAAACTGAGGTGAGGGCAGAGAAAGGTAGAGTCTTTCTTGATTGAACAGTGCCTGAAGCCAACCCTGGCTACATATCTCCCAGTTACATAAGCCAATGCCCTGTTTGTATTAAAGTTGTCRTAATTGGGGGCCTATCACTTAAGTATATATTTTACTTGCATTATTCAATTATTGTAATTATCCCCATTTTATAGATGAGGAAACTGAAACTCAGGAAGTTTAAATGCTTTACTTAAGCTAACAGCTAGGATGTGATATGACCTGGAGTTGAAGGTGGGTTGTTCTGAATTTATAGCTCACATCATTGCTATAGCTTAAAGACTCAGTGAACCAGCTTATTGAGCTGGTCAGCCCAACCATTGACAGCATCAGGAGGGCAGGCATTGGCCCAGGGACAGGCCAATGACATTGGATACTTCAGACTGTTGTGCTCAGGTTCATACAGACTAAAATAGTCCTTAGATCCACAACATTTCAGCCTGTTTGCTCTGGGAACCCCTTTCATTAAGGCTTTCCAACTTGCAGAATTCACTAACTAGGCTGGACCCACACCAAGTTGGCCCTCAGCTGCCAAGCTGCTGCTGGAAAGATGGATTCAGTTTTGTGATGCTGAGACTTCCCACCTCTACTTCCCAAAGCTCAGGAAAACAGAACAGAAGATATTCAAATGGAACATAACAGTGTTTATTAATATTTAAGTAACAAAACATGCAGGTCAATACTCAATGCATATACAATAAGACAGAGCAACAAAAAATTATAAAGCACAATCTAACTAATGGAGGCTTTCAAACAGTTAAATGATAAGAATATGCCAAGGGAAAACTCAACTGAGCCTTAAGCCTCAGACCTGATTAGGGGTTTTCTGGTGATGGGGGAAAGCTCACTGTACCCATGGCCTTCATCTTGTAGGGATGGACCTGCTAATTTCAGCAAGATTATCCAATGGGGGTTCTTCTTCCTATTGCAAATCAGAAATTGTGCCTTCAACTCAGCTCTTGAGAACCTTAGAGGTCTCCATGCCTTAGATCTCTCATTTCCTCCCCCGCCCCCACCAACTAAACTGGTTTATCTGTTCATTCTTTACTCTGCTGTAAGCAGTGAGTTCCAGGAGTGTCCTCTCCAATTTGGCCTAAAACTCTTGCTGGGAAGCTCTCTGAGTTCACTGCTCTGGCTCTTGGTGAGAACTCTCCTTCCTTTTTAATGGGCCGTGATCTGGTCTTTATTCAGCATGGTCCATTTAACCTGAAAACCCCTCAGTATTTATCAAGTCCCGGGGGCCACTTTCTTATGCACTATTGATGTAAGGATTTTCTTTTCCTCCAAATAATAATCCCAAAATCAGATTCTTCCAGTGACACTGCTGCTCCCTGGTTTGGTGGCTTTCAGATTGCCTTTACTTCCATTTCCCAGGGAGTCTATTCTGACTTTGGTGCTAGGATGAGGTTCTGGTGCCCTGGAAGGAGTTAAGGTTTTCTGTTCAAAAGGGCAGTGATACAAGCACTGGGCAGGGGTGTGGCTGCAAAGAACTTGCAGTTCTGCCTGCAACTCAAATATTTCAACCACTCCAGGTGAATTTAGTGAAGGGAACAGCTCTCAGTAAGTGCTACTATCAACTGCTAGTGTGGATAAAAAATATTAAATTTGGCCTTACCATTTTTTTTAAAGAACTTGCTTTTAGCCACTTCCTAGGCATTTCTGTGTTCCATTATTTGTCATTTACATGGTTTGCATTTATTATGTATAATTAGTCTTGGAGGCTTCAAAAGGGAAGAATTAGGATCAGAGAGCTTTTCATGGAATTTGGACTTATATGTGACTATACAGAGTAGTACAATAAAGACAGTACTTTTTCAGTTTTCTTCCTATGTGCAAGGGTGAAGCCAATTCACTATACACCAGGGGGCAGAAAGAGAAGAGAGAGAAGAGAGAGAAGAGAGGGAAGGCTATAATTTTGCTAATAGATTTCTGATTATATTTAGGACTTAGATTATAAAACAGTCTTTTCTCAGCCCCCTAGACACAATTTATGACTTGCAATAGGAAGAAGAAACCCCATTGGATAATCTTGCTGGAATTAGAAAATCCAACAGAAGCAGAAAGTTTTGGTTGCCTCAAGTAGAAATCACTTTGGTCTAGTAATTTTTAAGGTTACAGTGTAAGAAAACTCAGAGTGGGCTGGAGAGATCACACATGTGTTTCCCTATCATTTCTTCTCCAATTAATGTTTATTAGTAGCCAGTTGGGAATGGGAGAGGCAAAAATCAAATAGCAGAAAATAATGTCTTTGGATCTACTTTCTTATTTTCCTTTCAAAATTTTTCTTGGGGACAAGCTGGCAAATAAATGGTCAATGGGTTTATTAAACAGAAGGAGCAGGAAGAGTCTATTTAAATTATCAGTGTCAGGGAGTCAAACCACATTCTATCCTCAGATTTAAAAAGTTGTATTGAAAGAAGTGTAGAAAGTGTAAGCTGTGTAGCCTTTACAAATGATAACTTTGCAAATACTTTACAAATGATAACTCAACTTTTTGTGTTAGAATATTTAGAGACAGAGATATGTAGTCAAGATCATCTGGCTTCAGGACAGATGAAATCAAGATTTTCTAACTTTCAACTCTGAGTCAAAAACAATAAGGAATCAAGGTAGAATCTTCTTGTTTTGTGGTGGRTTTTGGGGGAGGGTTTCTTCTGTCCATTCCAAAGGATCCTGGAGAATTACACATAGTCATACTTGGAAGGATGAGATTGTCCCTCATCCTCTGTGCGGGCACCCCCATCATATATCTTCTTGTTTTTCATGTTGGACCCAAAGCCAGTGCTGGCCTTGAAGCCTCCAGAATTGAGGCCAATATTGTGACCCGAGGCATGATAAGACACAGCTCTGTAGCTAAAAGAAAAAGAATTGTTCCATGATCACAGATGTTTGTAGGAGGACAGACTTCCTGTTACCCTGGATGTCTCTGACCTATTAGGAGCAAACTAAGATGTCTGGTGATCCTGTTCATTGTGATACTAGGGTTTTTTTTGTTGTTGTTTTTGTTTTTGTTTTTTGCTTTTCCCTGGGGCAGGATTTCTTGCTTTTATATTAGAGCTTCACTGTGCTAGTAGTGGGTGACTAATGGGTTCTCTCTGTTAATTAAAATGAAGGTTATCCAGAAACAATGTCTAGGGGAACACTATTCTGACAAAGAATCATAGACTTTGCTTATTTTATGGATAAGTTAATGCAGGCTGCTATGCTCTGAATTTGTACCCTCCAAAATTCACATGGAAACTCAGTCACCACTGTGATGGTATTAAGAGGTTGGACCTTTTGGGAGGTGATTAAATCAGGAGGATTTAGTGCCTTAAAAAAGGGATTGAGGTTGAAGAAGCTCTCTCTTGGCCTTTTACCTTTCTGCCCTGTGAGGTCAGTGCTCCTTCCCTTCAGAGAAGGCAGCAAAAAGGCACCATCTTGGAATGGAGACTGGGCCCTACCAGACACCAAATTGGCTAGTGTCTTGATTTTGGGCTTCCCAGCCTGCAGAATCATGAGAAATATATTTTTTATTGTTTATAAATGAACCACTCTGTGGCATTTTGTTATAATAGCCCAAATGGACAAAGACAGAGGCCCAGAGAGGACAAAYGATCCACTGGAGGTCACAGGGCTGGTTAGAAGTAGAAGTACATCAGAATTCAGCTCTACCAACTTCAGGTCTTTTGTGGATTTAGAGTAGGATTGCTCAACAGCAGTGCTGTTGACACTTTGGAACTGTATGCTTCTTTGTTGTGAGGGACCATCCTGTGAATTGTAGGATAGTTACCCTGGCCTGTGCCAGGGTATAGAAATCATTATCACTTCCCCTCTGCCTCTCACCAAAGTTGCAGCAATCAAAAATGTAAAGTGTCATATATGGTGTGACACTGTATCATGTACAACCATAGAAATGTAAAGTTGTACTGCAGTTGTGTACAATGAATCAAAATGCACTCTGTTGCATATATACTTTATTAAAATAAATAAATTAAATAAATGTAAAGTGTCTTTAGATATTTCCAAATATCCTGGSAGGTGGTACAAATTCTTTCCCAGCTGAGAACTACTGAGTTGTGGAATAGTGGAGCTAGAAGCAACCTAGAGGGATGTTTTTCTTTTCCTTAAAATAATATCATTCCTAAATCTTCCCAGTTGAAGTCTTTCTGTTCTCTTCTTTAGGAGAAGGGAAAGTAGTAATGAACTTTCAGTCAATAAAGTTCTTCTAAGTACCTGGATTAATCATTTTGGCTATAAATTATACATTAAAAGGGATTCTGAACAAATGAGGTGTCTAATTGCATTGGAAAAAGAAGACTTACTTGGTATCATCCGGTGTCAGGCCGCGGCAGGCGATACACATCATCACACCCCCAATTAGAGTGAGGCCTCCAGCGACCCAGCCCACGAACAGAGCTGCACCAAAGGTGTACCTAGGTGGTGAAATGGTGAGTGTGAATGAAGCTGACTCGACTCTCCAAGCTCTGCCCACTGCCCCTGGCCATGCCCATTCTTTCTGTCCCCATTTTGGGGGGTCCCCCTCCCTTTTCTGCTGGGAAAGAGAGACTAGGAGGTTTGGCAAGAGAACTTTGAAAGGTATGGAATTTTAATTCTTTGAGCTGTCACTATGGGATAATAAGTATTCATCTTACCTTACCCTAGGTAATCCTTATGCTTTGGTTTTTGTGTTGAATGTCTCCAAAGGGCCCATGTTTTAAAGGTTTGGTTTCAGGATGGTGCTATTGAGAGGTGGTGGAATCTTCAGAAGGTACTGCTTAGTGGGAGGTCCTTAGGTCATTGGGGGAGAGCCCTTGAAGGGGATGATAGGATCCTGGCCCCCTGCTTATTTTTTGATTCCTGGCCATGGGGTGAGCAGTTTGCTCTGCCACACATTCTCCTACATTGCTATCTGGCAACTCCACTAGAGGTTCAAAACAGTGGCTCCACCTGATCTTAGACTGGAATCTCCAAAGCCATGAACCAAAATAAACATTTTCTCTCCATAAGTTGATTATCTCAGGTGTTTCATTATAGTCATGGGAAGCTGACTAATATACCTTACAATCTTCCATGCAAGTAGGAGTATTATCTTCTGAAAGAACTAGATTGAAGTGATTGCTCATTTTTTTTGTTCATTTGTTTACTCTTTTGTTCAACAAGTATTTGTTGAGATCCTGCTATGTGCACAGAACTTCCTTGATGCTGAGATATAGGGGATGAATGATGTAAGACTTGTGGGCAAGTGTAACATGTAGGGCAAAACTGAGCTCGGATCTTGAAAAAGTTCTGGGAGAAAATTTACACACAAGCTATTTAATTTCCTTTGGACTATGAAAAAGACATTTGGTTTGAGGGCAGCTGCCTTGGAATGAATCCTGTCCTACCTCCTTATCCTACCTAGTGTTTCTGGGGGTTGAATGGCAGACCTGTAGTCTTCTCCTGGGGGGGACCTTGTTGACTTTCATGGAGGCAGCCCTGGTCTCTCTGCCCTAACACAGACAGAGCCCCTGTCCTTGCTATCCCTATAATTTGGCTGAATGGCAACATAATGCTAATAATTTAACAATAATTGCTACCATTTATTGAGCCCTTACTGATATTGTGATAAGTGTATATTTCACTACTATCTCATTTAATTCTCATAAGTCAATGTWTTAGGATTTATCATTCTCATTTTACCAAAGAGAAGATTGAGGGTCAGAGAGGTTAAATAACTCCTCCAAAGACTCAGGAAGGACTTGGCACTGTCAGGATTTAAATTCAGGTCACTCTGCCTTCCAAGTCCTCATTGTTAATTGTTAAACTATATTCTCTTCTGTGATGGGAACAAGGTTCCTTTCCTCATCTTAGACACACTCTGTCAAAGTTAGCAAACTTAAATATTCACATGGGATAGGTGAGGAATTAAATGAGTGAAGTAGTTGGATATAAGAAAACATTTAATTTTCTTGATTCTTATTGGGAGGAGCCCCATAAACATGATGATAAATGAGGTACTGGGGACTTAGGTAAACTGAGAGTGTGATACCTCACTAAAAAGGAAAACTGCCTTTCAGCTGCAGAGACGGCTGCCCTCTGAGAATGAGGATCCAGTGCTGCCAGATATTAGGAGGTTTTTTTTTTTTTAATACAGAAAGCTGGGAAAATAGGTGTGTGTACGTGAATGTGCACATGTGTGCTGTGAAATCTGTCCAGGTGCTCATGGTGCTTTGCCCCTTCAATCACTCTGTGTGTCTCTTCCCAGCCTGTGCATGCTTTTGCCTTAACCTGCAGGTCCCTGAGGCTGTTCCTGGAATTGTGGTTTTGAGTCAGCTCCTGAGGCCAGTTTGCCCTTGTGACAGTACTGAAGCATGGAAGCCCAGCTCTTTAGTCTGGGGTGGAGACCATCCTGAGGTGTGCCTACCCTACAGAGCTCCTGTGAGGACCAGCCTGACCTTGAGACTCATGCCTGGCTTCCCCTTTCCTGTCTTGCTTCACTCCCTTCCTAACCAACCTTCCCTTTCTCCATGAACACTGCCCAGGCATCTTCTCAGGATCCATTCTTGAGGATCCTAACCTGGGATGCTTTGAGTTTTAAAAGTTGATGATTAATTCAGATTATAAGATGAAAGAGTTATGCTAATACAAAATACCTGCATGCCATTCGTCACAGGTCTGCCATTCATCCCCCAGCAACACTAGGTAGGACAAGGAGGTAGGATAGAATTCTTCATTCCAAGGCAGCTGCCCTCAAACCAAATGCGTGCTGTGCAGTATGAGAGTAGGCAGTTTGAAGCTCTGTTCCAGGGCTTAGGCTCTGCCAGTGTTGCAATGTGGCATCAGCAGAGTTGGGGGACAGGTGAAGGAGGGGATATACAAATGGGGCATTGAACCCAAAGTCCCATCAAATGAGCTGCAAGGATGCTTCTTGTCAGCTGGGCGGTCTTGTGTGACTTCTGGATAGAGAAAGTGAGGAGAAAGAAGAAAGGGGAAAGATAGCTGCCCAACCATGGAGAGAGAAGTTCAGAAGGCCTTTCTGAATCCAATCTTACTTATAGGACTGAAGTGGCCTGCCCAGGGGACAAGGTAGGTGCCCAGAAAACAAAGTGGAAGAGCAGTGGTTTCAGGTGTTTGCTGTGGGTACAGAGGGAGTGGTGGGTGGCTCCAAGCAGGTAGGCTTTTCTAAGTAGGATGGTCAAACATTCTGTTTTGCCTGTGATGAAGCAATTTCCCAGGAGGTGGGAATTCTAGGGCTAAAACTGGGAAAGACCCAGGAGAACTGGAGTGAATTGGTTAGCCTATTTCTAAGTTATCCTGGCAATCAAGAGACATTGAAGAACATGGAGGAGGCCAAGGGCAGCTTACAAGGACTAAGTTTCTTATTCATAAAGCAAAGCAGAAGCATAGGTGGGGATTGGAGTTCCAGAGAGCCAGAGAGTAGTGTATTTATCATCTCCTCACACCCTACCTGTACCTCATGTTGGTGTGGCTGGAGAGATACCAAGTGCATCTACTGCAGAGAGGGGAGGTCACTTTGATGTACTATTTATATCATTCTCCCCTAACAAGATCTCCTTTGGGATTTCACCATTGTTTCTTGTTATCCAGCATATTCATTTGAAGTGGCTAAGTGAATATAGGTGTTGGTATTGCTTTTCCATCCTTTTAAAGTTCTACCCTTATTTGGGCCCCAAATTATAGAATGGTTTCAATTCCCTCTGCTAGACTCTGACCTCCATAAAAGTAGGGACTTGTCTGTATCTCCAGCACTGAGAACACTTCCTGGCTCATAGGTGCCCAACACATTTGCAGAATGAATGAATGAATGAGGTAAAGAGGCCGTTGTATAAGGAAGAAACATCCCTTTTCTTACCTTGCTCATTTCTATTCAGGCTTTTACCTGTCCCTAGTCAGGTTCTCATTATGGACTGTAGATGTAAGTTGGTGTTCATTTACATGCCTGAGTTAATAGTGCCTGTTTCATTGCCACTACAATGGGGCCTGTGTAAGAGTGTTAGATAAATACTGTGAACTGTCACTGTATTTCAATGCAAATGTCAGATCAGCCTTAAGTCATATCACCAAGGATATTTCACTGAAATGAGGTTTATGAATTTACAGATTATTCTTGATTTATGATATGGCATGGTTGCCTGTGATAAATTTTTGCTATTTCAGGCACTGACAGTCACATTAGGCACATGTGTTTAATCAGATTCTTAAAAAGTATTCACCATGGAATTTGGAGACATGGATTAGGAATTTACCTGGTCTGAACAGTCTGTACCATCCCACCCATGGTGCCGTACATGCTAGCCGAGGACATCCAGAAGTTAGTAACCAGCATGTTGGCAAACACGGACACTCCAATAATTGCACACACACCTGTGGGCAAAGAACAAGAAAGCTCCAGAGTCAGCTTTAAGAGAATGCAATATTTCTGAGAAAGTTTATGATTACATGAGTTTAGATGAGCAGGCTGCAGACTGTTTTTCTCCTAAAAAAGAATGATCAATCCAACCATTGATTATTGAATTCCTGTTATGTGCTAGACCATGGGCTAGGTGCTTATCTGGAAGGATGTGCGTTTGTGTGTGTGTGTGTGTGTGTGTGTGTGTGTACGCATGCGCATGCACAGAAAGAGATATTCCATGCATGTTGGAACCAAGGATAATAGTTCAAATGCTTTGGATCTGATCTTGATAATGTTAAAAGCTTGTCCCTTGTTAGAGTCTCAACAAGAAGCCTTTTAAGGATCCAGTCACGTGACTACCTTAGGGTTGAGCCTATTAGGTTTGGGTTGGGGTGATGGCTAAGAGAGACAATTATGGTTTGGATCTGAAGATCCTCTCATATGTTGCAGGTTTAGTCAGCAGTGCAGCAAATTTGGGAAGTGATTGGTACCATGAGGGCTTTGACGACATCAGTAAGTTAATCCACTGATGGATTAATAATTTAAGACATTAGTGGGAGGTGGTGGAAACTTCAGGAAGTGGGGCCTTGTTGGAGGAAGTAGTTACTGGGGGCATGTTCTGGAAGGGTGTATCTTGTCCTTGGCCCTTCGTCTCTCTCTTTGTGTCGCTCTGATTCCAGACTGTTATGGTGTAAACAGCTTTGCTCTACCATACCTTCCACCATGTTTTGCTTTACCTCAAGCTCAAAGCAATAGAGCAGAACAGGCATGGACTGAAACCTCTAAAACCAAAAGGAAAATAAATCTTTCCTCTTATATGTTGTTTTTCCTCAATATTTGTGACAGTGATGAAAAGCTGACTAATGCTAGGATCTTAGCATTCATGATGGTTCTGTAAAGTATAATTAGGCTTCCACACTCAGATCTTGAATCCCAGTGTCAAAGGGAGGAGGGAGGAGGCACATTTTCTCTACCACAATGATTTTTTTTTTTTTTTTTACATTCTCAGAAGTGTGTTTGAGACCGTGAATTCATGTTTACCTGAGATAATGAACACAATTCCAGAGGTCAGTGTCATTTTGGCCTTGGCAGAGTCCTCCATGTTGCCGATGCGGATGCACTTCAGGGCAAAGATGGACACCAGGAGGCCGATGACACCCAGTACTATGCCCACAATCATTAGGGCTCGCACTGCTTGCAGCATGGCTGTGGGACAAGGGAGAGACACAAGTAGACAAATTAGACCACCCCAACACAGATGATTAGGCTCTGGGCTTATAAAACAGCAACCACAACTAACCAGCACCTCTGAGGAATAGCATGTCCATTAGCTGGGAACCCCATCATTGTCAAAGATGTGGAACTGTAGGAAAAAATGCAAAACATGTCACATGTTTTGAAATGCTAACCCATAAGACCTTATCTTCAATGGAGAGTTTGCACCCCTCAGGGGTCACAGTGAGCGCAGTGGACTGATGAAGGATATGGACACAGATGTGTATCAAAGGAGAAAATTATGGAAGGTTGGAATTGGGAGGACCCTTAGAATTTATCTACTTCAGTTTCAAACTTGATAATTTGAGGTCCAGAAAGGGAAAATGATTTGTCTAAAGTAGTAGTTAAATTATTGTAGAGATTACAGTGAAACCATATTGCTTTCACTCTTAACCAGAATCTCTTTCTTCTCTTGTCTTTCCATTTGAGTTCAAAGTGTCATATAGTTGTGTCCACTTGAGGAAAATTCACTATTACTTTATAGTATAGTATGAAGCCAAGGTTACTAAGTGGGAAGTCAAGAGCACACCACTTTTGTCTATTTCTAAAAACAACTATGAAGGTCATGGTAAGCTGTAGGTTTCAGATATATGTAAAGAAGATCAGTATATCAATACCAGGCCTTTCAGTATGTTTACCACAGTTTATCAGTAGTCCCCATTCTAAAAATCATTTTTTTTAAAGCTGTAAATCCTGCTGGATCCTCCCATAGTGACTACACCCCAGATATGTTCAATATTGTTTCTAGTGCATCCTTTAAAGAGCAGCAGCTATCACAACACTTATTTAGTGAATCCCCACAGGTGGGCATGGGATGACAGTAGTTAACAGGTAAGATCTGCCTCTGGTCTCAAGAGTTTTTGACAAAAGTATGGAACGACAGTCATTACGCATGTCTGTTGCAGGTCTGATGAATTTTATAAGGAAGACAAATTAGTTCTTGGTGTCTTCCAGAGGGCAGGTCTGCTAACTTGGGTCAGTCTGCTTGACTTGACCACAGAGCTGTGTAGATATACAATGATCTGAACACCAATTGTTCTAGCACTCCAGGATATACTTTTCTCTTCCCTGAAGCATATGACTCCTGAAGGAGCTGCCAAGTCTTACATCTGTGCTTTTCAAAATTTTAGTTTCTGTGCTGTCACAAATTGATGCCCTTGGCAAAATACAAAATTACTTGCTTGAGTGTCAAAGAAATGTCAAATTATTGTAAAAGTTTAGAAATGTTTATTTTTAGTTTTGGTAACAGGATTGTTCATTTGTGGCATTAAGACTAGACACAAGAACCTGTCCCCAAGAGGGGATGGATAACAACAGCTTGTGCAGCAGTGTGGTCCTCAGGACACATTTTGAATAGTACTGTTGACCCTGATCTTTCAAGCCACAACATAGTATCTTGTCCCTTGACCACAGTAAGGTAACTCAGCATGGGAATTTGACTCAAACTGCACAGAGGAGACCCTTATGCATGATGTGTGTACTTTGGACACAGACAGCATCAGGTCAGTCCCTCTCCAGGGGCTGAAGAACTAATGCATGGGGCTGGGAACCCAGAGTTTCTATCAGATGGAGAAAGCTGTTGTATAATGACAACCAGATGAAATTCAAGAGGTAGGTACAGTCCTGATAGTTGAGCTCTGGGATCCAGCAATTCCTGAAATCCAAGCACATTCTTTCCTTGGGATCCAGGAGCTATCACAGTATCATTATTTTTAAAAATCCCCTTATCTGTTGAAACTAATTTATGTTGGGGTTCTAACTTGTGAAAGATAGTTTCCTCAGTGTCTAGAAATGCTAACCTATAAGACCTTATCTTCAATGGAGAGTTTGCACCCCTCAAGGGTCACAGTGAGCACAGTGTTGCTGAAACCTCTTGGGGACAGGTTCTTGTGTCTAGTCTTAATGCCACAAATGCACCAATCCCACAATGTGGAGTCAGAGAAGGGTAAAGGAATTGGTTTTCTTCTATTTGAAATAGCTGATTTTCCCCCCAATTACATAAGCAGTAAATGGTCATTATAAAAATTGAAGAACCTATAGAAAACCATAAACTAGGATAAAACCTAAAAACCTCTTTATCTCACCTCTTGGAGATAACTTTTAATATCTTGGCAAGTAGTGTTCCAGGAAGGCGTTTTTTAAAAAGAAGAAAAAAGCCCAGTGAAGGTCACACTACTATTCAGACCCAGTAGAAATGCAGATGGTTAAAGACCTTGCAAAACTGTAGTAATAAGGGGGCTGTTGGGTATACCCAAAGGAGGTGTCTTTCTTGCCCTCAGTGAGCCCAGTTAATGATGCCCTGGCAGAATTCAACTTGGGAATGGAAAAAACAAACAACCCAGAGAAATACTTAATAATATTTTTCTCTTTGGGAACACTGGGGGACCTGGCCACACTGCTGCAGGCAAAAGACTCAGAGGATGCTGTAAACTGAACAGGAGGCCCTGTCCTGCCCTCATTGTCATTGCCAATTGCTACATTTGACTGAAAACTATTAGGAGCTTTTCAGACATTAAAAATTTCAATCCACGTTTAAAAAACCCTGTAATGCAGATAATAATATTAACTAATTAATATTTTATAGTTGAAGAAGTTGAGATTCAGAAGTGAAGTCACTTGTTCAAGGACACACAYCAAGGGAAAGGCTGATCTGGGGTTCCAAATAAATTGCAGAGCTGTCTCCAAATCTTTCTTTCTCATCACAGCACATGACTCTGAAATATCACTCTGGAAAAACAGGTACTGAGTCCTGGTACGGGGATCACAAAACTAATAGAATGTATTCTCCAAAGTTGGAGATGTGACCAGAAAATGTCGTAATCTAAATCAATGCTAAAAATGTATAAAGGACATTCTCCCAGAATCATCTCAGGGAATAACCTATCCTGGGAGATAATTTGTAAATGTGGTACTCAAGATGAGGGCATTCCCATCTGACTAATCACCTTGGAAAGATTTCCATCTCAGGCAACAGCCAATGCCAGTGGTGTAGCCATAAACTCTAAGGTGTGTATCACAAAGCAATGTGTCATGATGTAGGAATTGGCAGTCAATGAGATATATTGAAAAAGAAGAGGGAGATTATGCAGAATTTGCTGAAGTGGTTTCTGCAAATGCAAGCATGGATCTTTTACTTGTGTATTCATTTATATCTTTGTGTGTTCAAGATAGCACACAATGGCACACTCTTCATATTATCAATTAATATACACTCACCCATGAATTCATTTATTCATCAAGTATTTTAAAGCTCAAATACTCTGCAGTGCCTTTTGCCAGATGCTGTAGAGGGTCTAAAGTTTCATGAGAAATAATTTCTGCCTTCATGCTTTTTAAAACCTGAGAAGATTTTATTTTATTCAAATTTCTTTTCACCTTGAGAGTACCTTGGCTGAGTAACCCAAAAGAACCACTTGGTGACAGTAGCTCAGGGGGTGGTCCTTGTTCTCTTCAACATACTTGGTTAAACTACATATCAGCCCTATGATTCAGGACAGAGATGTAGAGGACATTTATGGCACAGCCCCTGCCTTCAGGAAACAGCCTCAGAGCTATCCTGTGTTTATATGTTACTCTTATGAAACTAGACACTTGGAAAAAGAAATAATGTAGTCATTCCTCCATCTTGTTTCCATAGGCCTCTTACAAATTTCAACTCTACCCAGGAGCCTGTTAGAAGTTTAAAAATCTGTTCTAGTTTTAATATTTTTAAGCCTGAAGCTATTCAGCRAAAAAAAAAATTATTCCTTTTGAAAAGCACTTGTCAAGGTATCTGGTTAAAATAAAACAACCAAAAGCAAGCAAATAAGCAAGTAACCAGCCAAACGAAAAATAACTAACCAAGTGAGGTATCTTTTTCTCATTCTATGGGAAATTACACTTATGCCCACCCTCAGCAAGGGACTCTATTGATTGCATGATTTTAACATTTGTTCCAGAACACAACATGTGTATGCTGTGGCGGAGGGATCTGGTATTCCCTGACATTGTTGGATGGGAACTAGTGGGGATGCTGGTAGGTGGGAGGTGAAGCACTGTGGTTTTGCCAGTGTGGAGAGTTGGCTACTGGTGTGCCACAGGAGTCCTTGGGACTGGAGCCCTGGCTAGTTTATTCTGATTAGCATTTGTCTCAGACTCTTAGGTGCTCTCCTGCCTTTTCTGGTCAAGTATGCATAAGACTTCATTTCTTTCCTGTTCTCTTTAGACCTCTAAATTTCTCATGAACCCTGAATCCTGCATTGAATCAGAGGTCCTGTATGATCCTGAGTTCCTTTTCATTTTAGAAACTCTTTGTAGCTTACTTTTGTCCCATTGTAAGTCTGTGGTTAGAAAAGATGCAACATTGTTTTATAACTTGTGTGGCCATGGTTCAAACCAGAAGTCTGTGCTTGTGTGCTTGGGCAGATGGACCAAGATCTTACCTGCTTTGGAAATCAAGGCCCTCGAAGAGTTCTTTGAGGAATGGGAACTCTGCTGGGAACAGGTGTCAGGAAGTGGGGGGAAATGTGCCCTGCTAATCATTGCTAGAGACCCTTAATCCTAATAGTAATGATCCTGGAGAGCTGCAGCATAGTGCTTTGAAGTTCCCTACCAGCTGGAAGATTCTGCCACCTGGGATTCAAATTTTTCGCCATTAATAGATAAACAGAGAAACTGCCCTGGAACAGGTAGGTTTCTCTTTTCAGCATTCTGTCTCTTATTTGATATTCTGATCAAGAGGGCTGGTCTTATCAGCTGATAACAAGGGAGTTAACTGGCTCTGGAGCCTGATTCCCTGCACGAAGGTGTGACTCCTGCATTCCCAGTGAGTAAGGAGGTGTTATCGAACCTGAAGGGCGGGCAGGATTCAGGCTGAAAAGAGTAAACAGAAAAAAGGGAACTCAGTGTTCCCTCTCTCTTGCAAAATATCTCATTCTGCTAAAGTAGCAGTG